ACATCAGTAGACGATTGTATAATGGATATTTCTCTGTGATTACAACTCGGATTAATTTAATTTTACACTCGTTTTTATGGTAACATATTGTGGTAAAGAAGCGCGTCAGGATTGTATTAAATGCCGTACTTTATTAGTTATGCCTCTTTATTCGCTAAAATTGTCTATTTTAACAACACTTGATTTTTAAGCAGTTTTTTCGAGTATTCTCGGTAAATGAGAAATTAAAGAAAAATCCTGATGCGCTATTTTGGTCCATATTGCGCTTAACATGTGGCAAAAATGTTGTATCCTCAATTCTTTCTGGTAGTGTTAGAAATATCCAAATACCAATTTGACATAAAAATTCAAAATTTGTGTTGTAACATAATTAGCTGCTGGAATTTCATGAAATTTTTTGGCTTGAGCATAGAAATATATCTCCTCTATATAATAAAACAAGTGATTGATTTGATTCATTCGCCAATAAACGTTTAATCTTCACTAGAGCAATACCCGTGCACAACGTGGAGATCGAGTATCTTTAACTTATTAAGTCACAAAGCTTGTGTTGAAAATCTCTAGAGGGGTAGATTCCTCACGCGGCGTCGCAAATCATGGACAGAGATGTCTAGAGAAAGTAATAACACAAATGAACCTGAAGAGAGAGGAAGACAAATTGCAGGCAATTAAGATGACAAAGATAAATAGTCTCTGTGAAACCAGATGGGTTGATAGGCAACAAGTCTTTGAAGACTTTCATATCATGTATGAGGCTGTTCTAGGTACCTTGGATAAAATTTAGTCGGAAGAAGGATGGGAACGAGACACTGTCAGCCAAGCAAGTGCTTTAGCTACAAGTATATCTAATTATGTGCTCATTGCAGCCTTCCAAGTGTGTCGCTTCATCTTTGGGTTTACCAAAGGTCTCAGCTGTCTACTTCAAGGAAGCAGCAAAGACATCCTTGAAGCATACCAGGATGTAAAGATGGTCAAGGATGAGCTATTTGAGATAAGGACCAACAGTAATCCAGAGTTTGACATGAATGTGTACCCAGAAATGGAGCACATGAGTACATTGGCTGGAGAAGAAATAAGGATACCACGTAGGTGCTCCTTGCAGACAATGCGGGGGAACCTCCCTACTGATAACACCGCAGACTACTATCGGATTGGGATTTTCAACCAGTTCTTGGATGGCCTCAATTCGGAAATAAATACCTACACGATTCAGTGAATTAACCAACCAAGCTGTCAAGGCTTTGGCCCTTATTCCAGGCAACCATGAACTACTTACCACGGAATGTTTACAGCAACTGCTTCTATTCTATGGCCCTGACCTACCTTCATCAGGCACATTTCTCCAAGAACTAAGACTTTAGAAACGCTTTTTGGCAGGAAATGCAAACACGCCATCGTCTCTGCCAGAAACTCTTCAGCAGTGCAACATTCTCCATTTCCCAAATGTTCACCGAATCTTACATGTGTTTATGCTGAAGCCTAACTGTGACGAGTTGTGGGATGGAGATGGCAAATTCTTCTCTGAGATTTATTAAATCTCCCTTCAGAAGCACTATGGGTAGTGACCGTATATGAATGCCTTGATGCTGCTCTTTGTTCATAGAGACATTAAATTTGATTATGACAAGGTGATTGATTTATTTGCATCTAGACACCCTCGCAGAATACTTTTCACCAATCCACTTTCAGCGTAGCCTTGATTTGTATCCGTTACCTGAAAATCAAATTTAGAAGACATGCCCTTAGAAGATATGCCCTTCAACTGTTGTAATACCATAATTATGTACATGTACATGTAATTCTTAAATTCTGTTCAGATCTGGCATTTTTGAAAATATGTTCTGTGAGCTCTCTGTCTGTATACAAATGAATGTACCTTTCCAAACCCATGAACTACATAACGGACAATCAATGCTTTGCTACAAATGAATTAAAGGTGTCTCCAAATTGAAAGTCATTACTTTATTAGGTATTCTTTCAATTCATATCCCAAACTGAAACAGTCTACATAACAGTCGGCCTGTTTAGTGAATCGTAGTGTTATACAGTTTAATGTTTTGCAAGTATTTTAACAAAATAGAGATTTTAGAGAATCAAAGGTGGGCTCTGATGGACATGCATGCAGCCTCGCACTTTGGTCCGCCTATGCACATTTAGGATTTAAAAAAACTAAAACCTATGATTTCGCCTTAGGTAAGTTGATTTAGGAACTGCACTGCTTTTCATGTGATTTTAGAAAACAATATTTCATGTTGTGTTACATGAACATCATGGAAGTTTCGCAGGAATAGTAATTTCCTTATCCATGTGAGAAGTGTATCCAACTATATCTGACCATAGTTGAAGGCTCTTGCATGCAGTTTTTCTCACAATTTCATATGTTGTAAATAAGGTTACAGAGATAGAGGTGTCCAGTTCCGAATTGTGAGATCATA